GGTGGACTCGCAGCAGAAGCGGGTGAGGCCGGGGAGGGACCTGGGGGGGGCGGGGAGGGGGCCCCTGTCCTGTCCGCGCTGACCTGAACCCTTTTCCCGCCGCTCCCGTTCGCAGTACGTTCCGGTCAAGGGCGACCACGTCATAGGGATAGTGACGGGCAAGGCGGGCGATGTGTTTAAGCTGGACGTGGGGGGCAGCGAGCAGGCCTCGCTGTCCTACTTGGCCTTCGAGGGCGCCACGAAGAGGAACAGGCCCAACGTGCAGGTAACGCGCTTGCTTGGGGGCGGCGATGCTCGAGCCGCTTCGTTTGGTGGTGCTTCCGTGGCGTTTTAGTGGTTCTTTTTAGTGAAAGCTATTTTTATAAGCTACACCGAAGAGGGGGCAGTGGAGGTTTATTTGCAATAGTTTTGCTGTGTCCCTCCTTGGAGGCCGTTTCATGATTAGGCTCTGGGCTTTGAGGTGTGTGAGAAGGTGGCACTACAGCAGTCAGGTGGTGGGCTCTTTCACTTCTTGTGTTTTAACTTGCCCATGAGATTGCAAGCTATAGTTGCAGTTCTTGAGTCAAGTGCATCTATGGGGGCACTCTGAAGCTAAGGGTTTTTTTGTAAAACAACCTTTTGCACTGTCTAATATTGTTGGAAAATTGATTTTTAGTAACACTCTTTATAAACAGTTGTGTACATGCATGTCACAGTTGCTGCTTTCAGCAGCAGAATGTAAAAATGGACTGTAAAGAGAAACAAAATAATTTAGTGTGATTTTTGATTTTGTTGTCCTGATAAAGGCTTATAAGAGCAGGTTGTTTGGATGTACAGCTCCCTTTGAGTCTGAAGAAAGAGGAATTAATGATTGGTGTTAAAAAGAAAAGAGGAATTATTTAATGAAATAAAATTCCATACTTATATCTTTCAAATTGTAGTAGTGATATGGAATTATTCATAGAAGAAGTTGCTTTTAATAGAAGAAAAAATGAAACCCCTGTTACACCAGTTTATTTTTCTGTCACCAGTGTTGTAAAACTATTTTGTGGCCTTAGAGGAGTATTTTCATCAACTGAATATTTCTTGCAAAGGTGCCATATGATATTTTCTACTACTTTTCCTTTTTGACACTGCTTTCTTTAGGTGGGAGATCTTATTTATGGTCAGTTCCTTGTAGCAAATAAAGACATGGAACCAGAGATGGTCTGCATAGACAGCAGTGGAAGATCAAGTGGAATGGGAATAATTGGACAAGATGGCTTCCTCTTTAAAGTTTCCTTAGGTCTAATAAGAAAGTAAGTATTGAGAAGAGTAAGTAGCCACTCTAACATGTAATATGATGGATAGGAGTCACACAACTATTTCCTCTGAGCAGTGCGGATAATTTGGTAATCAATGTGTGTAATTCTTTTAGTGCATTTATACCACTTTTACTGAAGAGAGTATGGATTTTGACCTTTTTTCTTACCTGTTTAAGAGATTTAGGTGCTCTTTTGTATGGTGTTGTGTGACATAATTTAAAAAGTCATGTGGTTGCCAAGGCAGTGGGGAAAATAAAACCCTTGATCTGGGGAAATAAAACATTCAAACTAGAGTTTCAGGTATGTAGTTACTGCCTTGGAGTTTGCAAATTGGAAATGCTTACTATCCTTTTTTCACATAATGGTATAGCAGGTGATGTAAATTTGGCTGACAGCTCACGGAAGGGGTTTTTCAACATAATACACTATTTTCAGCCTTCCAAAGAAGTGTATTCAAGTAAGAATACAGACAAAAAATATTTGAGGTTTTCATTTAAAATTGACAAGTCAATCCAGGAACCGTTTCATGAGCTTTTAAATGTAGTGTGAACTTTAAAGTTACACTGATAGAAATGCATGGGTTTTGTGACTATCCAAGAATACCAGATTATATAGATAAATAGTACTCAAGCTTTGTTTTTGTTTTTGGGTGGGGTTTCTTTTTTAGTAGTTTTGCAGAAAAACAATCTGGAGATGCAGAGCAGCTATTTCCTACCTGCTTTTTTAAGTAATGATTTGTCTGGTTTACATGTCCCATGAGCTGTCAGTATGAATGGATGGAGATGTTTTACTTCTGCTTGTGTTCCAAATTTTGTCTGGATGCAAGTAAAGAAATAACATTATGTTACAAGTAAACTGCTAAATCCTGATGTGTTCTTCTGTGAGAAAGCCTGTTGAAGTTTGATTTAATTCTAGGTTTATGATAGTTTCTTTATACTTTCATTTTTCAGTATGCTGTCACTTAAAAACATAATACTGTATTTACTAGTGTTAATATTGTCTCTTGAAGAAAAAGGGAAGCTATGTTTTAAAAGACATCTTTCACTCTTGTCAAATTTATAACTAGTACTTTAAAAATACTGCTTGGTCAAATTGTATAGCTTCAGAATTGATTAAATCAGAGTTGTTACAAAAGTATCAATTGACTTTAAATTTGTCAGCTATTACTACTTAATCTAATTTTTAAAAAAAACAACTAAATGAGTGCTTTTTGTTGGTGTATATGTTTTATATGAGAGAAGAATTAAAAATCTGATTCTGTATTGCTTTTGGATGCATATGCAAGTTGATCATCTTACCTTTTGGTGTCGCTGTAGTGTCTCCCATAACACTAGTACTGCAGTTTAGTTAGTGAGAGATAATAATGCAGTGTTGAGAGAATGTGAGAATTTACTTCTTCCTCTGACTTCTAAAAATCTTATTTACAGACTCTTGGCTCCCAAATGTGAAATAATTCAGGAGCTATCACAATTGTACCCGTTTGAGCTGGTGCTGGGAATGAATGGAAGAATATGGGTTAAAGCAAAAACAGTTCAACAGACTTTAATTATAGTAAATATTTTGGAAGCCTGTGAGTATATGACTGCAGAGCAGAGAAAACAAGCGCTTGCCAAATTGTCAAGGAATTGATACAAGAAAACCTTGAGGATTTGAGATGGCTGCAGGGTGTTTTGGTTATTTTTGTATTCAGATT